GTTCTATTCTTTCTTTCTGCTAATCTATTTTGTTCCAGTGTTTTAGGTACAAAAGATTGATATATTATTCCATTTTGTTCACAAAATATATTAAATTTATTAGAAAAATATTCCCTACCTCTATCACTTTTTAAAGTCTTTAATTTTCTTCCTAATTGATTTTCAACTTCAATCTTATAAGTCTTAAAGGCACTAAAAGCTTCATCCTTATGTTTTAATAAGTACACATAGATATATCTAGAACAATCATCAATAAAAGTAATAAAATATATATTACCGCCTCTAGTTAACATTCCATTCAATTCACATATGTCGGAATGAACAAGTTCAAGTAATCTTGTTGTTCTTACTATGCTATGAAATAGCTTCTTAATCATTTTTTATTTAACACATGTTTCACATTTTTCCAAGTTGTCAATTTCACATTATATTAATCCACATTTAATCATTCTTTTCATAGTATTAACTCCTATATGTACTAACCTACCATACCATAAATTAAATGAATCAATAACATACGCAGAAAATTTAACTTTATTTGAGTTATCCTAAAAAATACATAGTTTAACCATTCATTCGGTGGAATAGCCTTTTCCAACAAAATGCACATTATGGGTTAATACAAACTTTCCAGTTTCAAAAACAAATTTAATTCCAGGTTTTCCCAAGAGTACACCACTTGCTAAGTTTCTATTCATTTCCAGTACATGTAAGACATTTGTCAAAGTGATCTTCTTTTCCCAAGAGAAAATGAGTTCCACATTTCCTTTGCCAATCACTTTCGATCTTCCTTCATTTTTTATTTGTATCTCTTGATTGTCTTCAATGTCATGATAGGTTTTAAAGAGAGACTTATAATAACATACATGAATTGTAGCGTATGTATTGTATCACCAGCCCAAAACTTTGCTTTGGATTGCATTTATTTCCCTCACCCTGGCGATAATCTCATCAATGTAGTTTACTTGTCCTTTCTTCTTTTATTGTTTCCTATGTCTACAAGTCTTGGCATAGTGTCTCAATTTTTCACAAACATAGCAAGGTCCTTTGGCTTTGTTTTTGAACTTTCCTTGATCCTTTCTAGGACCAAGAAATTTTCCTTTCTTTTTAAATTTGTTGGAGTTGTCCACATTGTTCACAGCATTAGCCTTTGAAGGGCCTTCATAAGAATTTTCAATCTTATCTCTTGCCCTTGATTCTTCCTCAATACGAAGATATTTTTGTATATCTTCCAAAGAAAAGTTTTCGGAATTGTGAAAAATCTTCTTCCTATATCCTTTCCGAGAACCAGGAAGTTTAACAATAATTGCTCCCACTTGGAAAGTTTCGGGAAGTTTGATTTTCACCGCTTTCAGTTTGTTTACAATTATTTGTAACTCATGTACTTGAGGCAATAATGGTATATTATCCAAAATTTTGAAATCAAAATACTTAGATATTAAGAACTTTTTGGTACCTTCCTCCTGGACTTTGTATTTGCTTTCTAACGCGTACCAGATTTCTTTTGTCGATGTAGTGTTGGTGTAGAGATCATAGAGGGGATCGGATAATGCATTTAGGATATGGCCATGACATATCAATTCATCCTCTTCCTGCTTCTTCCTTTCTACACGAATTTCTTCGGTATCCTTGTCAGTTGCATCGGGAATGGGCTCCAATTTTGGATCAAGCACATAGAAGATCTTCAAAGTCATTAATAGAAATTTAAGTTTGTCTTGCCATCTTGTGAAATTTGCACCATCGAATCTGTCCAAGCGTACCAGGTTTTGATTCATCATTTTGATAGTAGCAAGTGTAGATTCCTTCTCCATTGCAATAATAGTAACTAGTAACGTTTGGGATTGTTGGAAAAATAATAGCAATGGAGAAGAAAATTATAAAAGCATATCCATAAAGGCTTGAGCACAATATTAATCTCACTATCCTCAAACATTATTTTTCTCCTTTCCAATGCTTTTTAAGGATTTTCGACAAATAGTTTGTAGGATTAAACAAGCCTTAACAAGAAAAACACCAAAAAGCAAAGGTGTTTCTTCACAATGAACAAGTGAAAATGGAAGGATTATGTGATAAATTTTCTCAATATTGAAAGTATATTTGGGGATAATTTTTTAATGGAACTCAATATTTCTTTCTTGCACTTGGATCACCTATTTATAGGCTTTGGCAAGTTTTTCACAAAATGGTGCAAAATAAAGATGAAAAGCCACCAATTTCAAATAAAAAACGGTGAAAAAACTAACCTAACTAACCATGCGGTCGCATGGTTACAGCCTCCACAGCCCTCCTATTCTCGGGAGGGCCTCATGCGACCGTATGAGCTTAATCCATCGGGCCGCATGGTTAAGCTCCCTTTTTTTTTCTTTTGATTTTGAACAAAAAACAAATAAATTTCCAACATTTTTCACGTTTAAAAGCAATTTTAAATTATAAGTCCTGTCAAAAGTGTACGTAATTATCCACGATTAAAACAGTGTTATTTATCATACTAATATTATGTACAAAAGATTGCATGTTAATTGATTTTTGATTTAGATGATCCAGATCCCTGTCTCTTTTATCATTTTTCCCCCTTTTAAAAGCAATTTTAAATTTGAAGTCCAATTAAAAGGTGACTTGTGCCATGTTTGATTCTACGATGATATGGATATGATTGTGTGATTATGAGAAATAGTGGTTCCGAAGACTGTTATGAATTTCGGTGATGATTTTTCGAGACAGAGAGAATGTCGAGAGGGAGATTCTTTCAGAGGTCAAATGAAGGATGAAGTCCGTATTTATAGATGCTCGAGTGAGTATTACTAGCTAGACAATAATGTTGATATGACAAGTACAACTTCCTTAAGTTAAGGGCTTTTTTCGTGTGTTAGCCGAATCTTCATCACGTCGATCAACACTTATATTTTTTAGGTTGCATGTTGCTGATTATCTTAGTCGACATAGGTCAATTGTTCATACCAATATCATTAGACCCCTACTCGCAAGTAATGGCCTGTCACTTATAACACGTGTCTTCTCCCCAGTGGGTACACTCAACAACAAATCAGTCGGCATGTCACATTCTAATAGGTGTGCCTGGAGACACCATGCCTGCAACTTTTGATGGCACGACTCTTCAATCAAAGGTCATATCAATAATTTTTGCAACGTGATGCTTCATCATTATCTTACACTAATATTACTTGTTATGTATGCCCATGAGTGGTTCCCCCTTGTTCTAGGGGATAAGTAGCCATATACTAAGATAGCCTTATATGTGGCTTGCGCTTTCATGCCCCCCTCTCTTCCCATTATAACCTAATCCCATAGGATGCTAGATTGTTTTCTTTAAATACGCCTTCACAATAGCGTTTACCATCATTCAAGCTACTTTGCTTGTTGTCGAGATGAAGCTCCTTTTAAATTTCAATAATTTCGTCATCTTCTAATATTAGTCCTCCACTTGGTCACTTTAAAATCCATTTGTGTTGATCTTCTAATAGAGGTTGGAAATATTGCTTATTTTTCCTAAGTTCATTAGAGGATCATTTTCCTTTTCCAATAGATTAGTTTTTTCATTCTCTTTGACAGATTCAATAAGGTTCCTATCCTTACCGAATCCCAGCAAGACCGACTCAAGACATTTAGAATCTTGGAATCCGTCGAGGCTCGGACGAATGACGTATTGGTCGACATCAAGCAATTGAACACCGACATATGCTACCCAAGGCACTACACCAAAAACAGGTTTTCGCAACGGGCAAAAAACGTTGCTAAAGGCCTACGGCAGCGTTCAGGCGTCTATTGCAAACCCTGACGTTGAACGTTGCCGTAAACCTTTACGGAAACGTTCATTGAACGTTGTCATATCTCTTATTCGCAACGTTCAATGAACGTTGCCGTAAGTCATTTACAAATTTTTATTTTATTATTATTATTTTTTCCCTATTTGTATAGCTATTTACCAAATTTACGACAAAATAAAAAATAAAATATAATTGACTTGCATGAAATTGATATAATTTTATTAATCCACACCAAATAGACAAAACACATCATTATAATAAATTGAAGAAATTTTTTTATTATCATATTGCCCATCAAATAAACATCTTACATTCCTCTCAAACAAAAGAAAATTAACTTGTGCAAGACCTTCCTTATGCTGCAACTCAAAAAAACCTAAATCTACACCAGCAAGTTTAAAGGCTTCTTCGGCATTTAGAGTTTCTCCTGTGGGTCCAACAGCCTTAGAATTAGGCCACCCTATCAACATAACAGCAATGTAGGACAACGGAACAAGATCACCCGGAACAAGACTCTGTTCCATTCTCAAAAATTTCAGCACTTAAGAACCTGTCATATTCAATCATAATGCCAATAATTAGAATTTCACAATTCAATATAATAGCTGCAAAATCTTGTGCAATGTCTACAAATAAATTCAAACAGACAATATTTTCTTATTAACATAAAAGAAAAACTAAATTTTCAGTTTTCTTATCAAAAAATAATGGACGCATCCATTCGTAAATATTGAATGGATTTCAATCAAGATGGCCTCAACTTCTTAAGTACTGTGCAACTATTAAATATCATTACAAAGACAAGGCATCCACTGATTGAGCTCCTTAAATTCAATAAAAAAGTCCAAATTGACATTAAATTTTCTATAAAATAACCATTATTTTATATTTTGATCAATGGTCTGTTCATTTTGTCTTTAAATACCTTATGATAACAACATCACGTTAAATAAAAATAATACAATTGAGGTTATATTCACATGTGGTGACTTTTTTGTCCTTATATACAGACAATCCAAGAGTACTGCTTAATTTTTTGTTCCCTGCATGCAGCTAATAACGATATTCGTTGCATTATGGCGCAACACACAAAGAAAAGGTTGAAACCATGTATCAACCCAGACATAATCAGACAATAAATCAAATGAATTAAAAGAGTCTAATCAATAGAAGCTATATAATATACCTCTTGATCTCACAGTGAGTGATGAGCTGTTATAAACAGGAGCACCAGAATTTGTAGTGAAGAATGGGGAATTGTAGGCACTTGATGGACGGTACTGAATCAAAATAAGAAAGTAATAAAATCGCCATAGATAAAAATAGAAAAATACAGTTCAAAACAAGCATATCCACAAATAAAAAAATTTATTTTCTCAGTAAATATATACTTCCATTAATACAAGAAAAAAATACACCTTCTGGAGTTTAGTCTTTCTTTTAAAATGTAAGATAGTTTTATCAAGAAACCTCGGTCCAAAGGTGTTTTTATTTTTGCGAAAGGGGCATCCCGATGAATATTATCAGTAAAAAAAAATAATAATAATAAAGGAAGTTATCTAATGAATGATCAAAAGAACTAAGGATTCGTTAACAAATAATAAAAGTATTCTTGACGAAGAAACTAGTAATAAAAGGGCTACCAGCAAGATCAACTTTTGTTTAAACTTCAACAGCTAGCCCAATCAAGATATTAATAAAAACTGAAAACCAAAATCTAAATAACATTATTAAGAAGAAGATGAGGTAAGAGTAGCAATTGGTACCTTGTAAGGGTCCATTATGCAGTAACAGTTGAACTGTTAGAGGGAGAGAGAGATGAATGCTTATGTTGAGAGATAAGAAGAGGGAAATGACACGGCCTTTAATACAAATTTAGGCCATTCAAATTTTTTATCTATTTATTTTAGCTTACAACCCAAGTATTACAGGCAGTGATTGAGGGTGGGGCTTTCTAAGAAGAGTCGTTATATATTAAAAAAAAAAAAAAAGAAGAGGAATAATCCAAATTTGAGGCTGAGACTTAAGAAATGAGTAAAAGAATCATCTCACTATGATAACTAAAACTTGACATCCAACGTTCGGTATCTAGTAATTAAGAAAACTACTGTAAAATATTATAGGTAAGATGATGCATGTGGGACTTCTTCATCAATGATGATTCTATTTCAATCTCATCATTAAAAATCTCAACTATAGAAAATTATCACAAGTCTTTAGATATTCTTTCTAATTGTTCAATCTCAATTTTTTCTTAATTGATCTCTTACAACCTCTGTGTCTAACGTGTATGTTTATTTGCACATTGGGACTCCATTAAAGTGCAAAAGTCACCTTTTGAAACAAAAAAGTCTATTATTTGCACTCCAACAAAAAAGTCTACCTTTTGGTGTCAAACCTCGGTAATATTCCCTCAGATCTTGTTTCAAAAACAGGAACACAAGTTCCTTGCACCAACCAAAACCTTTGTAAACCATTTTGAGCAACATAGTAATTAATCATTCACAATAACTTTTTGCTTCACCAAATTCAAAAAATGGTTATGTGAATTGAGTAAATAAATACAAATTTATTGGCAATGGAGAAAACCATTAAATCAACTTCATATTCGCAAAATAATTCAACCACCAATCAAAAAAATAATAATAATAATAAATAAATAAATAAAGCCAAAGCATTAGTGGAAGAAATAATTACCTGAAAATGGGGTGGCAGAAAAAGCTCGAACTGCTTGATGCTTTTGAAATTGGCGAGACAAATCGATATTTTCAGACAACAGTACACTTCGAATGAGTTTCATTTCACCTATTAATTAATCATCAAACAACATATTGCATAAAGAATTCATTTTTTCTAATTCTAAAGGGTTAATTTCAGAAACAGTTACTAAACTTACCAAAAAATGACAAAACAGTCACTGAAGTTTAAAACTTTCAGCAACGGTCACTGAACTTCTGGGTGGTTACACTAATGGTCACTTAAGTTTAAAAAATTTCACAAATGGTCACTGAAGTTACCAAAATGATTCTACTTCAAACTTAAGGACCAAAGTGACCAAAGAATATTGAGGGCCTCATATGCAAATTTCCGGGCAAAAAACCCCCAAACCTGGCAAATTTTGATTCCAAAATTTAGTATATTAGAGCTGTAATTTCAGCAATTGAGTGGTTACCTAGGGTCTTTTGAACTTGAATATCAGTTCCCCCAAGGTTGATTTGCATACTTGGTTACATTGGAGCCTTCAATTGATGGATGAGATTCATTTTCTCACGAGCGAACTTAGTGCAAATAATCCAGAAATTGGCTCAATTTGATGGTTAATTGGTGCAATTGATTTATGACCCAGCATACTTCCAACCTGAATTGAAGATATTAAGGGCGAATTTGAGGATTGGGACGGTGTAGAAACCTCAATTGAAGGTGGACAAACCTGGTTGCCTTGCGTATGAACTGTCCGACCTGTTCATGCACTTTGCTCCCAAATTGGTGATGACCCATAGCTGGAATAGGTGCGTTATGAAGAGAGGATGCCAGGACAGGTGGTCCGCGATCATTGGAACCACCACCGTCGCTGAAAAACGAGTTAGTCGGCCGCGAGTTCGCTGTTTCCAAAAAATGCTCTATATTTCAATTTCTTCGTTGTTTGTTATTAAATGAACATGGATAGATGCGTCTAGATGAGCTTGAGCGATCTGTGTGGTGTGATTAACATGGGCATCAATGGAGTTGGATGAATTTGGAAGAAAGTCGGGGCAGTTTTGGACGATTTGGGAAATTCATTTTGGCCGAAAATTTGCCCCTGAGGTCCTCAATATTTATTGGTCACGTGTTTTGGTCCATAAGTTTGAAGTAGAATCATTTTGGTAACTTCAATGACAATTAGTGTAACCGCCCGGAAGTTCAGTGACCATTGCTGAAAGTTTTAAACTTCAGTGATCGTTTGTAATTTTTTAGTAAGTTCAGTGACCGTTCTGAAATTAACCCAATTCTAAATATATAAAAACTATAAACAAAAATAAACTTTTTGTTTACTGTAAACAAATTTACACATACTGTAAACAAGAATTCGTTTTTTCTAAATATATAAAAACAGTAAACAAAAATAAAAAAAAAAAAACAAATTTTTGTTTCTAAATATATAAAAATAGTAAGGTTCGCTACCTTAGGACTAGTAAAAACAAAAATGAACTTTTTACCTCGCAAATCAACATAAACTCACACAAAAATGAACTTTTTGTTTACTGTAAACAAATTTACACATATTGTAAACAAGAATTCGTTTTTTCTAAATATATAAAAACAGTAAACAAAAATAAAAATAAAAAATTTGTTTCTAAATATATAAAAACAGTAAGGTTCGCTGCCTTATGACCAGTAAAAACAAAAATGAACTTTTTACCTTGCAAATCAACATAAACTCACACAAAAATAAACAAATCTTTAGAAAATTACTTTAAAAAATGCAATCACGAAGCCAAACAGAAGAACCCTTGCTTTGTACCACAAGATTGGCGAGTCTTACAGGAGATCTACCTTGCATAGCATAGTCGCCAAGTTGTTAACCGCGACGGAGTGTAGTCTCTCAAGCTGTGGAGGAGACTGATGGACCCACTAAACAAGTTGTTAATCACGGAGTCGCGACTCGTACGATTAGGGTTGAAAAAAGGGCCGGCTTGTTGTCATTTGTGAAAGAGTGAAAGGGAGGGAAGAAGGAAGGCGGCGCCTCTTCGCTTACGTTGTTGATGGTGGCGATGGAAGGAAGGCAACGCCGCGATTCTAGTGGCGAGAGACCGAGAGCGAGAGAAAGAGGGAAGAAATTAGGGTTGTCATTTTGGATGGCAGGAACTTGAGTTTTTAACCACACTAACCAATTGGGTCGGGTCGGGTCGGGTGGTTTGTGTTTTGTTCAAGTATTAATTTATTGCAAAATGCTACTAAAACCTCTAACGGCAATGTAGATATAGAGTTGTGGCAAAAACTTATTAACGGCAACGTTCATTGATAGTTGCTAAAACCTCTAAAGGCAACGTTCAAATAAACGTTGCCAAAACTATTAACGGCAACATTCATTGAACGTTGCTAAAACTAACTAAAGGCAACGTTCAAAACTATTAACGGCAATGTTCATTGAACGTTGCTAAAACTAACTAAATGCAACTTTCAATGAACGTTACTAAAACCTCTAAAGGTAACGTTCACTGAAATTTGCCAAAACTTATTAACGGAAACGTTCATAGAACGTTGCCAAAATTGAATGCACGTTGCAAAAAAAAAAAAAAAAAAAAAATAATAATAATAATAATAATAATAATAATAACAACAACGGTCTATGAACGTTGCAAAAGGAATCTCAATTTGGTCAACCAATGGCAACATACATTTGCTGCATGTTGCAATATACCCCGTTTAGCAACATACAATTGACGAATGTTGCCTTTTAAATGTTGCAAAAGCCCCTTTTTTTTTGTAGTGAGGGTAGTATTTTTTCTTGTTATCCTATCTTCAATCGGCCATTCTATTTCTCTATCTTTTTCTTTCTCTTCACGTCTCCTTCTTTTTAGGTATTTTTAACTTAATCGCTTTCTTGAACCATTCTACTATCTCACTTTTCCTTCAAGCATGGATTTTGACATGAACTTCATGACAGAGCTTGCCAACAAGGCCAAGCAAAAGAAAAGGCACAACGGTTGCACAAACTTAAGATGGACTAGTAATTTGAGAAGTTCTTGGAGGTGTCGAAGAAAATTCACATCAAGTATAGCATAAACAGATGCCTTAGACACGAAGCTACATTAAATTCATGAAAGATATTTTATCCAACAAAAGGAAGCATGTATAATTTAGAATTCGATAAGAGAATATTAGATTTAAGTACAAGTATTAATTAATTTAACATCTTTAACTATTTTTATGATACTAGGTATGAGGTTAGCAAAGTCAAATACAATATCCTTACAGCTATATGTGATTGATACCAAGGACGAAGCTAGAAAATGATGTTAGGTTGGACTAAAATTTAAAAATTTTCGAATGAACTCACTTCGCAAGAGGCTAAATTCATGACATTCATGACTAAAAGTGTACAACACTCGATAAAATAAAAGAACACTAGATGTTTCACCCTAATATGTTCCACTAAATCTTTTTATAATTTTTTTACCAAATAAAAAATCGACGCTTTCTTTAAAAATATAAACTAATCGAACAATGATCGGAATAAACAAAGGATACATATCCACCAATGATACTATTCTAAATAAATTTGACGAACAATATTTTCAAACAATTAAAAGTTTTAGTCGAAACACGCCATCAATAATATATTAATATATGTTATTGTCTCAAAATACTATTTGGTATGGACAACAATCTTCTATATCACTTCATTTCATAGTGAGAAGTCACATCTAAAAGAAACAGCAACAAAGAATTATGAGGGCCCAAAACAATTAGATTTAATTCGTGTCCATATTTTGCCCAATTTCAAGAATGTACTTGTATATAGATTAATTTATAAATGAATAAATTTTAACAAATATTTTTTTATTGACAAGATCAAATCTAGAGCATGTTATTTATTATGATCATAAACTCTATTTCATGGTCAAAATAATTAATTTTTTCTTATAAGTTATATGAAAACATATGTAGAAATAAAAAAATTAATTACTTTTAGGTTTAGCAAAACATGTATTATATAGTGACTCTTAACTATTAAAATAAGTAATTTTTAGATCTAATCAACACAAATTTTCTTTAGTAAATTTTCTTAATTACCATTAATAAATTTAGTCAAACATGCATTAAATAAAATGTCTAATATAAAAATAAGAAATTCATGTTTCATAAATGTTATGAAAATAGCATTTAATAATCATAGCCTCTTCGACAAGATTTAATTAAGAGTAATTGGCACAAA